CTGTGATATGTTTTGCAACTGTTGAATTTTCCTGTCAAAGACTATCTTCATGAGCCTCACCCCCAGCACGCCCACTTTCGTCGCAGGTCTCAAGGAGCTAACATTCGATTCTGTAAAATTCCAATCCGCGTTCGCTGAAAATATACCACTTCGTATAAGCTGCACCTTATTAGAGGGGAGAAATTCGTCCATTTATTCGCTGGTTTCTGCCGGTTTCTTCATTGTTGCACAACAATTCGAAAATGTTTTCACCAAATTCGTTCTATCTGCCTGATTCCTCAAATAAGCTAAACAGGGATTCCTATTCAGCCGATAACAACTCAAGAGCTAAATACAACTGTGTGTAAAGAGATGAACCCCCTAGTTATTATCGATCAAAGAAAGTCCTTCTCCAAATGAAATGGGACTTCGAAAGATGTAATGCGAATGACTGTATGTTGCGATAGACTGTGAGATCATTACAAAACAAAAGGTCACAACTATTTACCGGGTTGACCTGAGTATTAATTGACACTTTCAGAATCAAGGGAATGAACGAATGAATGAGCTATCTTTCATCTCAAACTCCGCAGCGGATTTGCAGAATACATGTGCACTAGAACGGATCACATTCACATTACTGTTTGTGTTTTTGAACTTCGGTAAGAATGTGAATAGAACGGAGACGAAAAGTTGGTTACAATTTGTGCAGTCCAAGGAAGCACTTTAAAATGTTTGCAAAATCTGAATCGATTGCTTTGTGTTTTTTCAGACGTTCAACGCTTAAGGAAAACACTAAAAGGAAAGTCTTTTGACTGATCGGAAATGAACTTCGTGGCTCAATAATTCACTACAACCAAGAGAAAAGACTAAAATAATTTGCGTACATTACAGGAGACTGATGGTCCTAAAACGATTATCGATCTCTTATACTGGACACTGCTTGATCTGTGTGCCAAAGTAGGCTTGTAGTTGCAGAGAGACAATTGCTATAAGGATAATTGATGATATTTTCAAAAGTGTGAGGTAGCTTTTATTGAATATGAATTTGGTTGGAAAACAACATCCGCTTTAACGCCATTAATTTGAACAAATCAGCACGGCCACGGTTTCAGATCAATTCCAATTTTGCGGAAAAACCGAGGAACAGAAATGACCCAGCTTGTTTGAATGAACACAAAATTTCGTAAGCATTGCGTTTCTGAGTGACAAGAATACTGACACCAAATCAAACCCCGCCCACTCTGAGAGATTACGGTTAGTATCTAGTCTAGGAAATAAAATTCGAGCGCCACTGGTCAGTCCAAATAAGGATAAGACAGTTTCAAATGAGAATTCGTTGTGTTTATAGCAAATGAGGAGTGAAATGAAAAAATAGGAAGCACTGGACAGCTGTTTCGACCTGGTTGGGTCTGATCAGCAGAGCGAATTCATCGACCCAAATGGGAGTCGGACCCAGGATCGCATGGGCCGAACGCAAGCATGCTATCCACTCGGCCACCGGGCAGTTGATCAGAACGCTTCTCATTTTCCATTTACACGATATAGCACAACCCGTCTGTGCGAGATTGTTGCGGGCCACAGAACCTGCTCATCTCAGCACTAGCCTCCAGGGTTATGACTCAGTTGGAAACAGTCACAACCTGACTACTTATTTAACGTGAGTAATGGAGTATTTGATTAAATTTCAAATGGGAATTTGTCGTGTTTATATCGTGTAAATGGAAAATGAATAAACGGTCTGATCAGCTTCCCGGTGGCGTAGTGGATAGCATGTTTGCATTCTGATCATAAGGTCCCGGGTTCGGTCCCCATTCGGGTCGATGGATTCGCACTGCTGATGAGACCCAACCAGGTCGAAAATGCTGTCCAAAAACTAGAAATAGTTTTTTAGTTCACGCTTCATTCGCTACACGACGAATTCTCATTTGAAATTTAATCAAATCCTCCATTACTCACATGAGATAAAACACTTGTTTTGTTTGTCTTAGTCGACAACCGATAAACTTCTATCTCAAACAAAGATCATGTTATAACATATGACAATTTCCCAAAATGACATTCCAACAAATGAGAGAGTTTCTCACCGTCGAGATTACTCATCTGGGAGACATAAAACATGATTAGACTTGTCGGTGGACATCAGTCATAGGTACCATGAATAGTGGGAAATTCATATCAGTAATGACGAAAATGTTTCCGGAATTTCATGAAAAAAATAGTCTGGAAAAGTTATCGTTTTTCAGGATAACGTTCGGTGTCATGTTTCACGACAGGTTAGTAAATTTATTTGGTTAAGGAGACTGATTCACTTATTATTTGCTTCACGACTTCAGAAGAGGTGCGTGACTCTAAGGTTCATGCAACTTCCCTCTAATAGTCTGAATCTCAATGTGATCGAAAATCTGTTTTCTGTTTTGAAGCGAGAGGTCAATATGCTACCTGTTCATTGAACATTGGAGGCAAAAGTGCGATACGTAATGGAACACAAAATAGAAAACTACTTCATAACATAGTTGGCCGAAAAGAGTGGAAAAAGTCTTAAAGAACAAGGGCAGACCAATCAACTATTAGTGAGCATAAACTTAACTTATTATAAATGTTAATTCGTTGTAAATAAAAATTGTTTCATTCACTTTAGTTAGCCCATCATCAACCACCGCTGACGAAATGGGAGTATCCGCTACATGCTGCACAATTGCATTTGCTGAGTATAAACATATCAGGAAAATCACGGCTATAAAGACTCACCAATGCTTGTTTATTATGATTTGGAAAGAAATTAACTTCGGTATAAATGCTGGTGTCTATGCGAACCCAAATGTGTTTAACAAAGATCCGTTTCTTCAATTTCGCTTAGACCTGTATATATACTTTTATGTGTAATGTTACATTTCATACTAAGCCTTCACTGGAAACGAGCATATTCTCTTTTTCTTTTTTCTTTTACTTCCTTTTTTTTGAATATACAAAGATACAACAATTTTTCAGAAAGGGGAAAGCGACCAATCAGAGAGCTGCCATTCAACACACACAAAGGGGAAAGTCAGGCGGTAGTGGTGGGGTTCGAACACACATCCCCGGGGTGATAATTTAGTGACGTTACCACCGGGCCACCACCGCCCTCCATTTGTATTGTGCTTCAGATCCTTTTAAAAATTCTTCGTGAGGAGCAGAGTTGTACTCGCGAGTTTATCGTTTGCGGTCATACTATAAAATATGAGTAGTTTCAAGATAAACGAAACCATAGCTAAGTGTGTAAGTGTACACAAAACATGCCCGCAAACATATTCCGTGTACGGAACACGAATTATCAAAGAGAAAAAAACATCAACGAAGCACATCCAGTTAGACACTCACCGCTGTGACAAGACCCAATACGCTGTTAACTGAGACCCAACCGAACAAGCCTTCCTCAGACCCGGAAAGCAAACGAATACGCTCGTTTGGTGTTTGAACCTGAAGACCGGAAGTGCTGAGTCCACGTCTAAGCGCATCGAACAAACCCAAGCTGCTTAGGGGATCCTGCAATCTGGTATTGTATTTGAAGATTTTGCGGAATGGTTGCGGGGAGATAGAGAGAGATTGCAGATGTAATCGTGGTTTGAATGAATAACTCACTCCGTATTTGTCCTACGGATCCACTAAACTACAAACCAGTGCGAAGTTCATAGATAAAAGTTTATCGAATAAGATCTCGCTCGATAGGCCCGCAGATCATTCTGTTTCGGTATACTATGAAACATTTAGTGTAGAATATTCGCGACAGATGAAACATCAGGTGTTTGAACTGAGAAAAAGATAAATGATCAACTGGCACCATTACACCGATGAATCAAACAACAGATCGATAACTCGTAAGCTGACCACAGATATATATGTATCACTAAAAGTATGAAACAGTACAATCCGTCCGAGTAAACTATGTACATTACCGCATCCTGTTCATCCATATCCGAACTGAACCGTAACAACTATCACAGGATAGTATGAAAGAGTAGTATCAAGGCATATTTATCATCAATGTGACCAAACATGAACAGACCAGTTTTTAGCGGACACCATATGTTAAGCGAAAGAATCAAGTGGCAATTCATTTCAGTCGGTTACATTCGTCTTTTGTGTACCACTCGCAATGTCAATACATCCCGATACGCAATTGACAGAGTGCCATCGGTGCCCGTGCGCAGGCACTTGGTCGTTTTATGCAGAGATCGTATTACAGTTTGACATTTCCATGAGTTCAGTGTCGCCCCGGTCTTACAACGGAGTGAATTTTATTGATACACGCTGGTGGATAAAAATAAACTGATACATAACGACGACAAATAATAGACGAAGACCTTGTTGTTATTAAATACCCAAATACCTTCAAAAGCCTCAGTATGGTCTCGAGTGGGTGTCTAGGGTTGCGGCTGGTCACCCTTCCCTTGTATCTCACGAAATCCTCCCATAAAATCAAGCGTCTGGAAAAGTCTCTGCTGAGGAACCCCCACTTACTGCCTTTTCGTGGCGGGAGGTGTTTTCCCTCAAAGTGAGAGGACGAAAAGTCAACATCCGGGGCTATAACCAGGTGGGTGAACCACTGGCAGCTCACTTCGTGGAGTTGGCCAAAATCCCTGATTCAAAACCAACCAAGAGGAGGCTTACGAACCACAATCATACCTTCCTGGTTATGGTAGTGATCACCAACTCGATTGTTTATCGAGGTGTATTCGGCACCTTGTATGTTGGACCCCGTCCGAAGGGCGTATGATCCGATGAACTGGACATCGGCCCTCAATGGATTGCGATTTTCACACAGTCCCACTGCCTTGCGGGTCAGGCTTTCGTTGTGAATTCCTCCAGAAAATTCACCTGCCTTGGTCTGGGCAACCTGGAAGTATTCCACCCACATGCAAATCATGGAACGTTTTTCTTTTTCATAAAGATTATTGTATCATGAATTTTTGTTTGGCACAGTCTGGATTCAGACGTGTGTGAAAATATAGTATGTAAACACCCAAACACTTTTTCACACCCGGCATACAACAAAACGTTTGATTCATCAGAATCAATCAAACAGTGATAAACACTCAAGATCATGAGTAGGAAGAAAGAAAACTATGTCATCGTTTTCAGCACACTCATTAAAAAAGTGATTGATGTTTAAGACAAAACGTAAGCACTTCTACTAGCTTGATCGTTCACGATCGCCAGATAGACCAATTTTCAATTAAATCGCATCATGTTGTAATGTTTGAGTGCTATCTGAGAAGTGGTACTCAATTGCAAGTTTGAGCTTGTTTTCAAAAACGTTTTTGTCTGTCTACTATCTACTACTATATGTACGTAACCCACCTAATGGGTAAAAGTAATACTTAAGTGAATGCGTGCTGAGTGATCAGCGCAGATTTGTAACAAAATGGTGACAGTTCCGAAAAGGTTGCTCATCGATGATTTGAGAACAGGAGCTCTCATTACTTCTGGTTCCCGTTGAATGGTTGTGTTCGCAATTGGTTTTATTTATCCACTGCAAAAATCGTAAGCTACTGAAAATTCACCCCTTTGGGTGCATAAAGGTTTTCTTGACTTGACTTAAGGGTCATCTCTGATTAAGGATTTTACTAATGTTTTTTCGTTTTCACTGATAGGAGATTTGACACGATCTTCCGGAAGAGAGAAGCAGCCACTCGACTTTGCATATCTTCTTACAGATAGTGGGCACAGAATTTCGATATTCTTGCACTCACACGAAGAGCTGATATTGTTAATGCTTTCATCATGCACCAGTACTCATGGATGAACATACGTTATCATAGCCCATTCTGTTGAAAGTATATTTTGTTGGCAGTGAAGTGCTCTTGGAAAATGAATTTGTCATTAACTCCAATTGGAATATGTATCAGAAAGACCTCTATAAGTTTGACTTCTAAGCTTTAAAACGCAGGAAAATACTCACAGATTTGTCGCCTCCAAAATATCTTTTCGACTTCAATCTAGGGCTGGATGACTACCACGCAAACAAATCCCTATGGAAAACGTGACTACTCTATCACTCAAAGATGTTTCCGAAAAGGTTCTTGGTCCGGTTCTCCTTCGCAAATCAGGCAACTACACACGTATGGATCACTCTGTTTCAATTTTCAGGCGTACAAGGAAAACTCAACTCACCGCATGGAGCCAGCATTCACCTGCGACTAGGAGCGTCGGAAGCACTAATAAGCTGGTAGAGATTATCAATGGAGTATAGATGGTGCTCTCAGTAGCAGTAAAATTAGGTAATTAATGTTTTCCCATTAATCCGATGTGCTTTGAGACGACTTAGCTAATCTTTCGGTAGCGCACTTGATGATAACATTTGGTCTTGTAGAACTAACATGGTAACGCCGTTAAAAACACTAAACTTTGCAAGACAATCACTCAATACACAAACTGAACACTTCCTCAGTAGCTCCTGCAACAACATGCACATACAGACAATGAATGTTTTACGAAACGCTAAGGGATTTGAATTCCGTTTACAAACATCGGGTGAGGAATGAACGCGAAACCTGTCGTGAATGAAAACCCCCAGGATGCAGCTTGTGTCCGAGTAGCTTCAAACAGTTGTCGAACCTGGACTGCGCAAAGTGGATCTATCAAAAGACCAAAAGCTTCCTTGGAATTCATACGTTGGTTAGGATACTCAGATCCACTTCTATTATAAATGCAACTACGTTCCACATACATATTCGTATTCCCACAATTTTAACCCATTTATTCATTTCTTCGACCTTCAATGAAATAGAATTGCACTACGCATAAGAAAAGGCTACCCCTATAACCATTTGAGCAAAACGGAACAAGATTTTATGCATCCTCACGAGCGATTTAGGTTGAAAGCTCTTGGTTTTGTTACCCAGACACCAAACTGGCTTCAGCCTAGTTAAGAGGGTACTGATGTTGAAGAAATCCAAATGGAAGACTCCTATCAAGCAGTCGACTCACATAGTTACCTAGCGGTGACTACTCCGTTCATCGTGACGTTCGAAGATCAGGAAGTAGTGCTTTTAAATCAGGATGAATTGCAAACAGTTTTGAGTTCAAATGTGCGGAGACTGCCAGTTGACATCAGTCCTTCATCTGAAATGGAGGTTATCCGAGAAATAAATTATCTCAAAAGGTTTAAGGCTTCCGGCCTCGAGGGGCTGTTCCCATCGGTTTTTAAGGATGGAGGCTCAGCCTTGGTTTTGGAGTTAACAAACTCCTAGGCTCAGTGTGGGAGAGAGAAGAGGTTCCGACTGAATGGTGTGAATTGGTGATCATACCGATTTACAAGAAGGGCGACATGTCCTCTGATGAAAACCACAGAGGAATTAGTTTAATCAACATTGCCTCTGAAATTCTCGCCAGCATTATACCCCTTAATACGAGTAGCCGGAGCCGAGTCCGAGCTTACGGCACTTTTTCACTCGAGTTCACTACAGAAAGTGGTGTTCGACAGGGTTGCCCTCTCTCTCCTTTTCTATTTAACTTCGTGATAGAGCTAATTCTTGAAACAGCCCTATCCTCGTGCGAGGATAGCGGTATCAATTTAACCCCAGGTGGCAGACTGTCTGACCTGGAGTATGCAGACGACATTGTGTCACTAAGTGAAGATCCAGGTAAATTGCAAGCTTTTCTGGATAGTTTGAGTGCTAGTGTAGCCATGTTCGGTACGCGTTTTGTACCTTCAAAGTGTAAAATGTCGCTGAACGATTGGATTGATCCAGCACCCAGTTTTCCCCCTGACCGGGGAAGTAGTAGAGGAAGTAGACAAGTTTTGCTATCTGGGTAGCTATACCTCGCCTGGTGGACGCATCACTTATGAAGTGTCGGCGCGCATACAAAAGGCTCGATTGGCATTTGCAAACTTGAGACATCTGTGGCGCCTTCGCGAAATCCGGCTGTCTGTGAAGGTTGGTCTGAAGGGTGATACAGCAGTTTGGCTAGTTCTGCTATACGGTGCAGAAACTTGGCCATTAAGAAAACAGGATAAAGATAGATTATCCATATTTGAATATCGCTGTCTACGCAGCATTGTACGACTCTGGTGAGGTAACCGGATGAGCAATGCTGAGGTCAGGCACAACGTTTTAGGCAACCACGGTCGCCCCCTGAAGCAAGTGGTCGACCTCCATAGATTACGCTGGTTGGGACGTGGTACACATGTCACCAGATGGGTTGCCACTGCGAGGGATGTTTGACGAGGCAGGTAGCTGTTGGATAAAGGTCAAGGGTGGTCAAACTAAGATTTGGCATGAGGGTATGAAATTGTAACCAAGAGATTGGGTCACATAGTTCCCGTTAGGTTCCCCGAATGGGGCCCTCGGGATTATGGTTACAGGTGGCTAGCGACACTGAGCTGTATGGCTGGGTGTCGTAAACATTGGTGCTCATGTATGCAGTTCTTGTTCTTGCAACCTCAATCTATATGACGTTTCTATCTTTTGTTTGAATTTGCTTTCCAATCCTAATTTTGCAAGTTTGTCCAAATAGGGCACCAAAAGACAACAACCAAAACCGGCTCACGAAAGTGCGTGGTTAATGGTTGTAAAAAGCAACTAAATGCTTTTCACTTTTGCAAGCTGTTTTGGGCCTATGCAATCCAATACAGAATTTATAGGCTTGCAATTTTTGATATTCACCGAATAACTAGAGACGATGGCAAAAATGTTGAATTATATCGTACGAATTTACTGTTTTCAATCTTCCGAGAACCATTTTACCCACGTCAATGGCCAATTTTCTGGGTTAGAGCAAGTCTCATAGCGCACTCCGGTATGATTCTATCCATTGGTATTGACCTTTTGAATAGATTTTGCAAACGGAACTTGACTATGCCCAAATTCGTAAGTACGCTTTGCCCGAGAGTGTTGTCTGTGTAGAGTACATTCCTATTCTGGACGAAACCAATGTCATCCGGCGACAGTGTAACAATGGTTTAATCATTAGAAATCACGCATACCAATCGTTGAAAAGATAAGAAATCATACTCACAAGGTTAATCTCATGCCTGCGGTGGCCGCAAGGTACACGGGAATGTCCTTCCATCGTGTCATCGGGATATCCATCAGTAAGCGATGAAGTGGTTCTTCCAGTTGTTCATATGCTTGGAACGGACTATCAATATAGTTGGAAATACCAGGTTCTGGAATAAAACAAAATAAACTGACAATGTTGAACAAATGAGACAGCAAAGAGGATGGTGTCTCAAAAATCGAATTAAAAATAGTGCTTGTTGACCGGAACCGAGTGATGATCAGCTTTTATTTGTAGAAAAGAAATATCAATTAGTTATATGACGAGTCGCGAGGGAATATTTCTCCTTCAGGAACCGTTTTTGGAATACTCTCAGAGTTGGTTTGATCGACTTTTACGAATAATCTCAAGAATGATCAGATTCGGTATTCTCCAAAGCGGATGAAGAGAACGGAAAAACAGAAGAGCCAAAGAGCCGAATCATGGTGAAAGTATTGGAGTGCTAAAAATAGATAAACAAAGTCACCGATAGACGTGAGCACCGAGTCGGTTTGATTGCAATTCCATCTTGCGAATGATCTAACTCTGCGGCTGTGGGCTATGGCAAGTTTGCGGCTCTGCCGACATGATTTGTTTGTACAAACCGACCAAAGTTTGGCCCATTAACACGATGAACAAAACACGAGTAGGGCTTCAAGGATGAAAATATTCGTCGTAAACCCAGAAGAAGTTCCAGATTCCAAACTGAAAGCTCAAAGACCGTGACCACGTTTTGTTGTTGACGCTATAGTAGATATGGTCCAAAACTAGTGCCAGTATTGCACGTTGTTGTGAGGACTTAGAACTAAACATTTTTCAGAAAACCTGTCGTATGAGTTTTGGCATTTCCAGTTCACGAATGACATGGTGAATTTCGTTGAGTGCAGAGTAAACTAGACGGGAACAGACAAATAGGAAGTACTATACAGCTATGCCGACCTGGTGAAGTCTCATCAGCACTGCGACAACACTGATCCGATTTAGGATCGATCCAGGGACCCCAGAGGTGAAATGCAAACATCCCATCCCAAGTTNGTTTTTCATTTCGCTTATCATCACGCTTCGTTCGTCTAAGCCCTAGTAACCAGGATCGCGACTAAAGCGAAAACATCTGCAGTAGATGGATTACGCTATTTTATATATTTTCTGAATTATTCATGTTCATCATGATGTTGCCCATAGCTTCCCGGTCGATCGTATTTTAGCAAATGACTATCTGTTACGGATAAAGGTTTGCTGAACTATTCCCCATGCAAGTAATAGAGTTTTTTAATTACTTTTTCCAACAAATAACGCATTATTGAAGCACAGGAAGGATGTAATATCAGCTGCAATGTGTGTGTGTGCGAGTGTATGTGGTCAGAATACATCGGATGACCCGAATGAGATCTTCACACCTCGGTAATCACTCTCCCACATCCGTATGCTGTTACACATGCGTGAACAACACCATGCTGAGAGAAACATTGGCCAAATGGAATAGCAATTGTCTGCAGAGCTTTTTGCAGATAATAGATGTAGCAATAGTGCGGACTGCACTATTGCACAGTATATCCATCCATCGGTGTTCACGATATCCACATTGTATTAGTTCCAGACGAAGCAATCTCTCATTACGGTAGGCGATTTCGTCTACTGAAGAATTCAACAACAGTAATTAAATCCAACACACACAAACCGCAAACTTCTTCCAACAAACGAGCAATTGATGACAGCAAAGGGAAGGTCATTTTACATCACAATGGAGTGTACAACACGATGCACACAATCAGGTGTTCACGTGTAAACCAGTACAACTGTTTTGATGCAACCTGTCATCATAATCGGAATTTGCTTTTCGAGAAAACTCATGATAACGGGAAATAAGAAGAATTGGAACATTACAATTTTAAATTTGTTAGTAATCGAGCCGTTCTACTTATTTTCAAGTGAAGCAGATATCTGATTTTTGTAAAAATGTAAAATCTTTTAAAATGAGGATTCAAGAGAAGGTGATCATCTAAATCGAGTAGATAAATGCCTTGGAAATGCATTGGATAACCAAATTTGGAATCGTATTTATTCTGTTATAAGGGTTTTCATACCGTTATATAAAGATACAACAGTTGTCCAAGTAGGATTTTACCCAGTTCGAGACGAACGCATGAGACACTATCGGGTAAAGTCAGTTTGAATCCGGAAACACTCGTTTTTCGTGGGTCTCAATCTTTGGAACTTCATTCAATCCGCAGGTGAGTAAGTGAGTTCATTTGTGAAACAACTTGCGCCATCGATCTCCGCTTCATTTTCTCATCCAAGCTTGCCAGAAGACTTGAACGCAAACATGGAGTTCCTGTTTCTACAAGATTATTTCGTGTTTTCCATCTCACCTGTTCCTGTGGAACAACATACGACGGTCCCAAAAGCAAATTCTTGAAACAGAG